GGCCAGCACAGCGGATGGCTGCGTTAGCAAGTGGTGAAGCAGAGTAAGAGTGGATCGGTGGAGCGAAGCGGTCAGCAAGGGTGTCAGGCCAGGGCATCATGAACGTGCCAGGAACTTTGAGTCCAGGCTAGTCCTGGTCTGATTGCATTTGTGACTTGAACGTCTATTTCTGGCTGGCATGCGCTGGGGATGTCCCTGTGTGCATCTGTTGGTCTAGCTTCCTCCTAAAGAAAACCAATTGGTGCCGTGTCTGCTACATGTTGGGAACCAAAGTGCAGTACGTGGAGGCAGTTGAGAAATTTGCTTCAAAACTGATCTGAATGAGAACACTGATGTAAACGTGCCTATGGTTACTGCAGGAATGAGCAGCTATCAGAGTTCATTTTCGTGATTTTGTTTTTCTAGGGCTAATGGACTTTTTGTTTTCCCCTTATTCCATTGCCAGCATCTTGTCAGCTTTGTATGAAATCTGCTTCTTTATGAAACAGCAAGCTAGAGCCTTTGTGAGGATATCTGTAAGGATAGACAATGAAGCCACACATCTCTCCTCCAGCAGTAGAACTGTCATCTGACCAGCGTACACATGTCCCATGCCTGTAGGGGAAGAATAAACCCTTAAATAATATGAGTGATGGAGGGGAATAGATTTGGCAACCTTGCTCCAAACAGAGTTGTCTGAATTTGGGATTAAGCTGGCGTATCAGGGGAAGGCACCTGGTGCAATATTTTATGTTACTGCCAGAACGCAGCTAAGTATGGGCACAGGATCAGCGCTGCCAACATGAAAGCCAATAGGTCTGTGGAGGAGATGATCCAGTAGCTGCCACATCGTTCTCAGCACAGAGACTGAGGGTTGAATGGATTGCGAATGGTGAATCACCCCAGTTAATTCCTCAGGCCTTTTCCGTTCATGATTGAAATTACTGTCTGTGCTGTCACTGTTCTGTGGGCAAATAAAGGATAATCCACTTGGCACCTCTTTGTAGTGTGAACTTCACACAAAACTAATCCCTTGGCTAGTTGTGAGGAACTCAGATGAACTGCTTCTTTGCATCATCCTTTTTTGCAGAAAGATGAGACTACAGCACTTTGGTGAAGATGGGGCTAGTGTGGAAGATCTTTCGCTGTGTACACATTCATGCCAGTGGTTGGGGGGATGCCTTAGATGCTATGAAATGCCCGACACTCACAATGGCATCAACACCCAAGGCATCTTCTGTTTTTTTTAAAAGGCAAAAAAGCTAATATAGCCAATCTGTTTGCTTTGCTTCTTGCAGTGAAAAAAGCAACAAATGATACCTATGCTTTTACAGGAGGAAAGGGTATAAATTCTAACTCGACAAATCTGTAACCTATGGAAAAAGTCTCATACATTCCATCAGAAATAACCATTTTCGAGGCACTGCTATATCCGGACTATAATTAAAACAGCTTCCTAAAGAAAAGAACAATGGATTTTTTTGTTTGATGTATTACCAATCACTAATGACCCTCTTTTTTTCATTTTCATTTAAAAAATGAATATAAGTAATTAGCCATATCTTGCACAAAAGTAGCATTACCTGAAAAAATAATTAAGATGATCTTGAAATTAAGGAAATCAGTTTAGAAGAGAAGCAGGTGCTTAATAGAGGTGAGACCAGCTGTGCTTCCCAGGAATGTGCTTAAAGCACTTCGTGGAAAGATGTGTGAAGCCTCCGCACAACACTGGAAAGGAATTTTTATAATAATTCAGACAAATTGCATCCTATGAATAGAAAGCTGGATTCATTAGGACAGAAGGCAGATGGAAAAAATACAAAATGTGTTTGTTTCTTTTTAAGGGACTATAATGCTTATGAAAAGTGTCAGCTTGTTGTCAATGAGGGGAAAAACCCTCAGGTGCAGCAGTAATGTTCTTGCTATTAGGGTCTCATCTCTGCTAATGAGTAGCCGTCTGTGAGGGACATTCATAATACTTTATTTTAGCAATTCCTGCCTGCCTTTTTCTCGCAGAGCTGGACTTGTACAGAAGTGCTGCAGTGGTGGGACTCTTAACCCCTCCCTGCATATGAGGATTGAGATTAAGGAAGACGTGTCCAACCAAGAACATATAGACTAACTGAAAGGGCAAACTGTAGACTGCACTTAAAGAACAGGGGAGGGTGAACTTGTGAGGCTGTTTCCAAGTATGCCAAAAGTATGACTAGGCGATCTAAAATAAATCCATCAGAGAAGGCTGACTAAAGAATTACTGTTCAACCACAGACGAGTCTGAGCTCAAATACAGGTGTGATATTTGTTCTATACTAATGTTCTGTGTTTATGAGCCTACCTTCATCTTTTTGGCTAATCTGATTTACAATTCAGTAAAACTTCATTAAGTAGCAGTGTCAATTCCAATAAACCATCCTAAGAGGGTTTTTTTTTTTTTTTTAACTTCTAGTGGTAAGGAAAGGAAGTATACGCTTACCATCAGGTAGTGGTGTTTTTTCTTGAGGTGCCTTAGATTGCCAATCCACCTTATGAGCTGGTAGAGGAAAAAGGTGATATGAAGGTTCTGCTGGAGTCAAATAATCACAGACTTGTTCAAGACATGGAGAAAAACTATACAACTGTTTATGCTTCATGTAGTAAGTAACTACAGCTTTTTTTTCAGCATTCAATATAGAGGGCAATGATCCCAGTGCGAGGAGAGGACATTGGAGAAGAGGAAAGAAGGTAGAATAGATTGGCAGGATGCCTTTGGGACTTGCCATCTGTTGTGGCTTGCACATATCTGTAGAGTGTCATGTAACAAGCAAGTGATGGCATTAAAACCAGGCACAGACATGGAGCAGGCTAATTACCCAGTGGTTTGAGAAGCATGCAAGTGTGCTGGGATGCATGTGAGAAGTTAAACAAGGAAAGTGTTAAACAGCACATCAGAGCTCATGGATCTTCGTGCACACATCAGACTTTTAGTCAGCCAAGAATTTCTCTGCTCCATGCCAAGTCTCTTTTCTTGGTTTCAGTGGGACAAATAAGTGCCACATACCCGGGGGGTTAACATGGCCGGGTGTTTATGGTTTAGTGTTATACAAGGTTTACTGTTTTGAGTTCTGAGATCTTGTCTCACATAGTCCCACAGCAATAACTATTATGAAAAATACAGCCAAGGTTAGTATATGAAGTGTAAGGCTTTCATTTAACAACACCTTTTATATTCTTTAGCAACAGAGACTTTTTACAAGAAAACCCCCATTTGATAGGATTTCGTTGTTCAGCCTGCTTGTTTCTAGGTTTGTGCAGTGTTTGAAAGTCAGTAGTCTGTGCTATGCACTGCAAAATGCCTCTATGAGAGGGATGGGTGATTTTGAGGAGGAAGTGCAGAAGAAAGGGAGAGATTTGAATTTGTAGGTTTCCTGTCTTGGTAGTAGAAAACTTTGCTTTGAGTTATGCTACACTTTTAGGATAGCACCTTGTTACATGAAGAACACTTTTTGCATGTGTACAAATCCAAAAAAAATTCTGCTTAAGACAAGCCTCAGATTTTCCCCATGCCTCAAGCTCATTCACAACTTCGTGCTTTCTTTCATATCGTTCTTTTTTCCAGGGCTGCTTTTCCAGGTAATGTCTGCTGAACTTTGCTTAATGCAAGCGGCCCAAAAGCCATCAATCTAGGGATGTTTTCCAGCTGCAGTGACTACAGATGAGTTTGTGTTTACTATAGATTGCTTGTGCCTTTTCTGCACTCACCAAAATGCTTTGGGGGAATGAATTTTTCGTTGATGTAATCTGAACAGCACCAGGAACTTTGGGATTTTATCTGGCTGGCAAGTCGTTTAAGTGGATGATGGCCTTTCCTCACTAATTAATGCAATGTGTCATGCCACACTTAGTGGGGGAAGATAGGTAAAATTGCTTCAAAATATGCAACAACTTGCTACTAACTTGAAAAGAGATGATGACAGAATAGGGCCATGCTGTATAAACACCCATCACTTACGGCTCCCTGTTATAATATTGTGTAGTCTAAAGATAATATAGCGTAATAACATTCTAAAGAAATTTTCTATTATTCCATTTCAACCTACACTGATACAGTATCAGTTAAATTAACTGGCAGGGCGGAGCGCTGCCGAGTACCGAATACTCTCCTGTTGTGTCACATCTAGGATGATGGACTCCTTGCCCAAGATGGGGCCCCTCTTTATTGTGGGTAGACGGATAAATCATAATCCTTTGCATGAGGAATTTGAGACACAGAGGCTACTGTCAGTAACTCGCTCAGCATCACAAAAGGAAACGCAGACATGGGAATAGTTCTCATTCCTGTTGTGCTTAAACTGCAAAGCTGAAGCAGTGACTCGGGCTGTTTTGTTAACATGTGGGTCTGTTGCAGTCTCCTGGTGTGATATGACATTAGTGTATTTCTTTGCCTAATATTTGAACTGCAGTCGGTGTTTCTTCCTGCCCCTACCAATTTGGGCATTCTAGTCACTTTGGCATCTTGCGTCTTTCTTTTGGCAGGCAGTGTGAGAAAGGAGTGAGTACTATGACCCTATACCCTACTCTCTTTGGTAATGTTGTTTGTGTCTGTAAAGATACTGAGATTGATTTGAATGAAGAAAAAGGAGTGCAAGTTGAATTTGCACAAAGTCTAGAGATGAAAAGTAAGTATTTGTATCAACAGTCCCGGCCTCTTGTCACCTTGTTGTTTCATGCATGTGCTCAGCCTGCTAGTCAGGTTTATAGCAGAGCACAGATTTCAGCAGAGAGAGAACTGTCTACCTGAAGACCAGCAAAGGGACCTTCAGTGCAGGTGAACATCCTCTGGATGAATTCCCATATGCACAGCTTTCAACAGGTGTGGCTAAAATGTCCTGAACATGGCAAAAATCCTTCTTTCTGTGGTGTAGCTTTCTCTTGGCTGTTCTTACATGTGGTTAAATAAAGCTATGTTATGTGTTCACTCATATATTGCCTTCTCTCCTTCTCTTGTTTCTGTCCTCCTTGTTCTCCTCTTCTTTCACCTTCAGGCTTTGAATTACTGTACCAGCCAGATGTGGTTCGGCTGTACCTCTCCATCCTCACCGAAAGTCAGAATTTTAACACTCTGGAAGCGGCGGCAGGGGCTTTGCAGAATCTCAGTGCTGGGAACTGGACAGTGAGTGCAGTCTTCTCTTTAGTCTGTCTGCTGTTTCCTTTTTGTAAGTTAAAAACAAAGCTACATGCCATTACTAGTGCACTGTTACTTTCTGTATTTGCTCCTCCCTTAGAAAGAGGGGAGGCAGGAACTCCGAACAGTTACTTCCATTTTATTTCCCTGCTTGAGATGCTTTGCATCTTCTAGACAGACGGTTCTTGTGTAGCGGAAGTGTCACTGAGCTCATGATGACTTAAACTTGAGCAGCTTTTAATACTTAAGCCACTTAACCATAGCTGCATCCATTTGGCAAAGCCTGTTGTTAGATGGTTAAGTGTCCTGGATGCTTAATTCATTGGATTGTCAGATTTCTCAAGAGACTGCATTCCAGAGTGTCTGCTGATTTCCTCCTGGAGCATCCCTATCCTTATTGGAGCTGTTCTCACAAAGGTGTGTTTGGTCACTCCTAGAATTGTATGGCAAGCTGGACTGAACAGCAGCCTGAGGATCAGCCAGCTAGTGCTTCACAGCCTTTTTGAATAGAGTATATTTTCAAATCAATCATGAAACAGAATAAAAGCATGTAATTGCAGGTGGGGGAAGGTAGCAGATATTTTAGAAGCGTCACTGTTCCTCCTGAGTGACCTCTTTTGTCTAATCCAGAGGGATATGTTTCCTCACTGAGTTGTGTACCGAACAGAGGCTGGCAGATGATGCACCTTTTTTCTTTTTCTGTCCTCCTTTCTCATCAGCTTGCTGTAGGGTGTACTTCTACATGCTTTCTTCCTTGGTGCTTCATGAGCTTGGATGGTGGGTTAAGTTATAGATGCATCAGCACACACAGTCTAACTAGTGTTGCAGGAAAAAATTGAATTACAACACTGAAAAATGCCAAAAAGCAAGGGGAGGGTGAGTATGTGAATTCACAAACCTTTCTGTTGTTTCTTTTCCCTTTGTATGTTCTAATCAGTGGTCCACGTACATCCGTGCAACAGTGCGGAAGGAGAGAGGCTTACCAGTGCTTGTGGAGCTGCTCCAGTCCGACTCCGACAAGGTTGTGAGGGCTGTGTCAATTGCCCTGAGAAATCTTTCCATGGATCGTCGCAATAAAGACCTTATAGGTATCTTCTGATCGTTTCTTACCGGACAGGGCTCTTTGATACCTGAGAGACCTCACATTTCCTCTCTTGAACGGAGGATTCCTTTTGTTATGAGGTTTCCATCAACAGTATTTAAGACTACTCTGTGTAGCCACCAACTGGAGGGTTGCCATCTCAGAATGTACAAGCCATGGTTTGAGGGATATCTCAGTGCAACTCAGGAGTAAAAACAGATCCCTGCAGTAGAGGGTGTATGGGTGTGCAGAGGATCAGGTGAGTTAAGAGGCTACTTGCCTTTTCTTAAGCTCTGACTAACATGGCACGTGGGCTCCTAGCTGCACTCAAGTGGTTCCAGACAGGTGGCTCCATGGGTCTGCCATGTAGATTCGAGCAGCAGTCTGCCTCTTGACATGCTGAGCTGCACTAGGGAAGCACAGCGGACCTGGATGTAAAGTTGTCCCTTTTTACTCCCTGGGAATTCCTCCTTCCCTTCTCATTCTTCTGCACCTTATTTGCTGTAGAAGCTGGACATTTGGCAACTTACAGTTGAAATACTCCTTTTAATTAGATTCTTCCACAGCGCTCGCTAGCTCCTAGCCAAGGGGATAAAGGTGCGTTCACCTGCATGTAAGTGGGAATCAGAAAGGTTCAGCTGTGAGTTGAGTTTTCTCTTGGATGCCTGTGTATTTAACTGAGGTAGTTGTTTAAACTGTAACCTTATCAGGCCAGGAAATATTGGTCACACATTTTAAGGCCGCTATCCGTGCTGATACTAATAAATAGCAAGCTGCAATTCCACCTCAATACACTAGGTTTCTTTTTTAATAGTTCAGAGGTGTAGCTAGGCAAATGGTAGAGACAGACCCCTGAGAGTGATAAACTCTGGACTCCTTGTATTTTCTCCAGTACTACGTACTGTGAAGGCTAACTGTACCCAGGAGGAAATACTCTTACCTTTGTTGGGAGAAGGTTGATAAATGCACGGCTGCATACCTTGCCCCAGAAGGCCTATTACAAGGCTAAGTTGAGTAAACCATGTGTGTGTATTAGCATGAATATGTGGCATTAGCAGCAGCTACTGGATGCTTTTTGCTTCAGGCATTGCAAAGTATGATAGATTTTGGCTGTAAAATTCTCAGTAAAGACTGGAAACTTTTTTCCCCTCAATACCTTTTAGCATTCACAATGAAGTAGTTTGTCTTGGATATCAACTCTAAGTCACCTTGAAATAATTAATAAATAATACACTGTTTAGCTATAGTCTTGAGGTTCCAAACATGTTATAAAGTCTTGTGACCTGACAAACACCCCCGAATTTTATAATTCGAGATGGGAAGCTGAAATTATTAGGGCTGATTAATGGCTAATGGTATCTGTTCCCCTTATCTAGGTAGTTATGCCATGGGTGAACTGGTAAGAAATTTGCCCAGCAGGCAGCAGAGATCTTCAAAGAACCTGGAAGAGGATACAGTGGTTGCGGTGTTGAATACCATCCATGAAATCATTACTGACAGTTCAGAAAATGCAAGGTCGCTGATCCAGACACAGGGCATTCAGAAGCTGGTAGCTATCAGCAAGTCAAGGTAAGTGATAGTTGAAAGCAAAATGCACAAAAACTCACTGCAAACATGAAAATGTCACTACAAACAGCGATATCTTGCTCTGTGGAAGTATACAAGCCTCCTGATCCTTCAGAGGTGTAACTAAAGCAACTAATACGTGCAGTAAAAACACACTATCAGTCTGCACCTTTAATAGGTTTAGTTGGCTGAAGATAAAAAGTCAGTTGAATTAAAAACTTCTGTGAAGTTAGGGCATGCTTTGTCCTTGCATCTTAGCAATGTGCATGTGTTTAGCAGTCATCGTTTGCAGTGAAGCCATGACCTTTATTTTCAGAGTGGGAGACTTTTTTTCTGCGGCAGCGTTCCATTTCTGAAATAACAGTTATAAAATTTTATTTATTTTAAGTTAAATGGTTAATGATGTGCACTAATCATTCTGGCTGGCTGAGAGGCTGATGGTGATAGTTTGAAGTGACAAATTTTCACAGTGTTGATTATGTTGAAAACTGTATTCTGACTGGCTTAGAAAAAAATGAGTTTAGTATAGTTCAGCCAGTTAGAAATGAGCTTGCTTATAGGCGTGTTTTCAGCAGTCTTTTGGGAGACTAGATGAAGACTTCCCTGATTTGCATTGTTACGAAATATGAAAGCCAGCCAGGAATCTAGCCCTGTGTTACTTTATAGAGGGTGCTTGTGTAGTGACTTACTCAGAAATGAATGAGAACTCGTTTTTAGATTAGAATCACTTACTTTTTGCTGACCCAAAGGTCCTTCAGACCACGAAGCCTACTTCATTAAGTTCTGAAGTTGTACGTTGGGGTGAAGATTTCAAAAATGGCTCTGAATTTTTTTTCCTCCCCCCTTTACCCACCCTCCGCTGGCCCAGTTAAATCAATCCAAGCAGGATGAAATCTATTTTTTGTTAATGACATCTACAAGGCCGGGGGTCACTGTGAACTTCCTGGGTATTGTTTTAGTGCAAAGAGGTCGACATATGAAAAGTCTTGTATTTCTTGACATTTGAGACTCTAATTTTATCTTGCAAATCAGCCAGTCTCCCAGAGAAACAAAAGCAGCATCTCACGTTCTTCAGATGATCTGGAGCTATAAAGAGCTACGAAATGCCCTGCAGAAGGATGGGTGGAACAAGTCACACTTCCAGGTAGAGATGTTGGGTCTTAAGTTTAGTTAGTAGTTATGGAAATGCCTGAGTGGAGGGTGTCTTATCCTAAGTTAGTTTAATATTGGTAACCAGGGGTTTGATTCTGTTCTTTTAGGTCGTACGACAGTGTTGTTACAGTATATTCAATCCCAACATTATGCTGCTTTGCTGGGTATGTTTTTCAGTGGTCTGTGAAATGTAGCTGTTTTACTTTTGGAAGTATGCCACCTTGCGCAAGCCAAATGCCCTTCTGGCTTTACTGGAGGAAGAGTTAGCCTTTTTTTTCCTCAGTTGTGTCTCATTTCAAACATACTCAATCTAGTAGCCTGGGGCAGCCACCTGTTCCTGATGTGCAACGTCCTCACCTTTCCGTGTGAAAACCGTGAGCTCCTTTTACAGGCCAACAATGCAGCCATCTCGATGACAAGAAACAGATTTCACCCCAGTGAAATGTATGAAAATACCCTAGTGCCATATTATCGGCAGAAGAGGGGCTTAGCATCATTCCATAATCTCACTCCATGCTATTGCTTTATTTGTTCTTCTTGTTCCGTTTACCAGAGTGGCAAATTCTTCTTCATGTGTTTTGTCTCGTAGTCCGTTTCTGCAACTCCAAAGGGTTCCAAAGGTACCGCTGGCAGGTCTGGCTATGACGACAGCACTTTGCCCCTGGTGGATAAAAGTCAAGGTCAGTTCTGCTCGTTGCCACTTGTGCTGTGGTCTGCTTGCTTGCTTGTTTTTTTTTGGATTTGCCGTGTCTGTGGTATGAAAGTGATTGGTAAAAAGGTATTATTTATATGGTGCTTTTTACCTCGCAGTCCCAAAAATGATCAGTTTTATTAACTGTATGGATAGTATTCCTTCCCTTGTGAAAGGCACAGTACTGATGTTGCATACAAGTTGCGAAAACAAAATAATGAGTTAAATCTTCCTGGGAGAATTTGTGATAGGCGTGAATTGGAATTTAATTAGAACAAGAACGGCCTTGTTTGAGAATGTTATGTATTAATAAATCCAGCCTTCGGCCAGGCAGTGGGCTTGGCCTTTAGCATTAGCTTACCCCGGGGCGTTGACTCAGTACTTGGTTTTCTTGGTGTTTTTTGTTTTTTGTTTTTTTACCCCCTCCTCTTTTAAATACATGTTTTGGCAGTGCTTCTTCATCTGTCATGCAGGTTTTCGTTGGAGATGTTTTATCCGGATGCTAGCTAGACCTAACTGTGCTTGTTCGTCAGGCTTGACACAACCGCACAAACGCTGGTGTAGCTCCAGCTTTAGTTTCGTTATGATTGCTTTGTCTCTGAACCTGGTTCTGATTTCTAGCAATCAAATGTTAACATTTCTTTCCAGAAATCCCTGGTCTGCTGTGGCAGAGTTCGACCTGTTGCACTTAACCTAGTTTAACTGCAGATTACTGCAGACATATCAGCCCCACTCTGCCCTGCCTGTTTCTACCTCACCTTCCCTGTCTTCCATCCAGTCTGGCAAATTATACAGACAGAGGATGACTAGGATCAGTTTGCTGATCTGACAATAAAGTACTTGTTTTCTTTTTGGGTTAGCTTTTTGTTGGCTCAGCAAGCTGCTGGATTGGATTGTGTGTCATGTGAAGCTGCACCCTTGCTTTCTTTCCCTTCTATTCTGGAGAGGTCCAGAGAGAAGCTCGTTAATAGCAGTACATAGTCCAAAGCAGATCTGATGTTTCTGTTATCACTTGGAGAGAGGGAGTTACATATTGCAGTGCCAAAATGTAAGGGATATATGTGCTTTCTGGAGAGCTGAAATCAAACTTTCGTTTCTGAATAAATAGCAATTGAATAGGTTTTCTTACAATAGTTTTTGTGGTCAGTACTTCTCTGTTCCTGTGACTAATTTAAAACTACCAGCTGTTGAAAAAAGCAAATGTAACACACACAGTTTCAATGCTTCTGTTTTATAGATAACGAGAAGTCTGGGAGTCGTGATATGATACCTATGGATGAACTTGGCCCAGGTAAACTCAGTCGTAGATCAAAGCCCCTGTCTGTTTCAATAGAGTGCACTGTCACTCATAGAAAAGTTCAACTATTTCTGTAGGTGATATTCTTTCAAATGGATAAAGCTGACATTTAAAAACAGAACTTTACCTTACAAAAGATCAGATTTTTTTTATTGCTGTTGGGGTTTTTTTTGTGTGTACAGTGTATGCGCCAATTACTCCACAACTCTAAACATACAACAGAGAAATATCAACATAACTTTCATTCCAGTCTCTGGCCATTGAAGCAGCTGCATACCACATTACAGATTTGGAAGTCTTGAGATTCAGAGGAATTTAGTATTTTTTTAGAAGGAAAAAGAGTTTAAAATGTACTCTATAGTAACACCAAAAATAAGTTGGTCTCTATGACCATCCTGGCTCCGTTTTTAATTTACCTGCATCTAACTGAGCCGCCTTTTTCCTCTAGAAAGAGAGCAACTGCGTATTGTCTCCATGAAGCGCTTTGAGATTGATAACCTCTGCGGTCTGACTTGTAGTTTTTTTCTTTACTGAGGTGGATAAAGGTCATTTGCAGCCCCCTGGGTATTTGGTTTAGTTCTTCCAATTGACAGTATTTGTCCTTAAATATCTATATTAATGCCTCCAAATCAAACAGTTTGACATACTGCTATTTGTGATTGTAGCTGAAAAAAAGAGCAAGTAGAACCTAGCTGAAAACCAAGCATGTTCAAAAGTTAAGATAACAGGGATGTAATTCCTTTCATATTCTCAGCAAAATAAAATCCCAGCTGCCATGAATCAGCCGTTCATGTGTGCTTTCCTTAAGGGAACAGTGAAACATTTGTCCTCGCAATGGAAGAAAATAACTTCAGAGAAGATTGCCTGGCAGGATGGCTGTGTGCTTTCATGAGTTATTGGTACAGCTCTGAGTACCAAGGGAAATGCAAATTAACATCATATGTACAACATCAGGCACGTTCTCTGGGCCCTTCTGTTCTTCAAACCTTTCATCACTATTAGAAGATGAAATCTGTGACAAGTTTTCCTGATCCCTGCTCTTGAATACTTTTAACTCCAATATAGCTAGAACTTTGTGCATCTTCAGAGGTCAGCTGAGAAGGGACTAAATCAATTTAACCCATTTGCTCCCCTTAATTCTAGGGAACTGGAATAATAACTTAGTACCTCATCTCTTTTCTTCAAGCTCTTCAAAGCGCTATATATCTTTTGTCTTATGGGCTTATTTGCATGAGGAGCTCTTTGAAATAAATTTTCTTATTTAACTACATTGTGGACTGTCTTATTCACAGGTGGTTGTTGTTGTTGTTGTTCTCCTCTGGAGTGAACGTGCAGACATAAGGAGCAGAGCATCAACTTGCATTTCTCTGGGCTTTTACATCCAGTAAGCACAGGCTGTTGTGTCCCTATGTACTCCGCACCAGTCAAAGCTGAGCCTCTAGGAGGGACTGACCTCATGTATGTTTGCCAGGAAAATGCATGACAGAGTACCTGAGAAAGGAGTTCAGCATCCCGGCTCATAGTGCCTTTCTCTTTTTATTGTCAAGTCTTGTACCCTGGTTTTGGTCACTGTGTTTTTTCTCCCTTGCTTTCTTCTCCTTCTAATTTCACTTGCCCTGAGGTCTTTCTGCTTTATATTCACTGTCTTCTAGAGAATTCTCATCTGTACTGCCTCCAGCTTTCTGATGTCTGTTTTGTTTAATTCAGCTGCTTCCAGGTTTCATAATTATCCTGCTGGTGCATCAGTTTGAGGCAATTACACTTCCGTGACCAAACACATTAGACTGTGTCCCTGCAGAACTCTGTGCGTTTCCATACGACATGCATGTTAGAGGCACCCATCCGTTCAGCCCTGATGGCCCAGACATGCTCCTCCTGCTCCCCTGCAACACAGGAGGCTTTGCTGCTTCCAGAACATCACCACCTTTGCTGCCTTTCATCCATTGCCTCTTCCTGTCAGGGTTCAGCCCTGTTGCTTCCTGAGGGTTTCTTGCTAACCCGTGTTGCCTCCACTCTTTTTTTAGGTTGCCAAAAGAAACTTGCTCTTGGTATCTCGGCTTGTTTGTCAATGCTGTGGTGTCACCCTTCTTGGTAAAGGAAGTTAATTCTCCATCAGTGTCAGTATGGCTAAGGAGGCAGAAAGGCACGTTGCCCATCAGTGGGCAGTCCTGGATCAGTCAGCTTCCCGCTGTCTGGAGCGATGGGAGGGCCTGGGCAGAGCTTGGATGTCGTGAGTGATGGAAAAACCCATGTATGATGAGTTACTGTGAGGTATGCTAGAGAGCTCAGGTCTGTCAGACCTTATCAGCGGCAGACAAGTGGCTCTGCACAGAGTAATCCGAAGATCATCAATGCTTATTGTCCCGGTGCTGCCTGAGGGGGGCTGTGACCCTGAGCTGTCTGTAGAAGCGGCAGGCCTGTGCTCTTGAGGCTGTTTGCCAAATTTGTGAGCTGTGTGAATCTGTGTCTGTGCCTTAATTAACCTACAGTCAGACAAGAATTGCTCTGGCTAGAGATGCATAGTTCAGGTGTCCCTGTCCTACCTCCCCTTCTTCAGGCATGACTTCTTTCTCCTCCCCCTTTTTGAAGGAACTGGAGGTTTGATCTTAGTAAGTTGAGAGCTGTGCGAGGGCACAGATGGACTGACACCCAGCAGGCGTTTTGGTCCTGTAATTTGTGATGACCAAAAAAAATCTCACTGCAGAGTGGGAGATACTCGGTGAAGCGATACAGAAGACAGCAAGCAGAAGGTTGAGAGAGGGATAAACAAGCCAAGGATCAGCTAGAGAAATGAAAAAAATACGAGTATTTCAGAATGGGGAGGGCCTCTGAACAGTATAAATCTGTCTGTAAATTGAATCGTATTAATTCAGAATAATGCACGTATGCTCTGGAGCAGCATGATCTGCATAGGTCTCCTTCATTCCATAGAAACAGTGTTAATACTGATGATCTTTTAGAATGAATCTGAAGCGGGAGAAGCAGTACTCACCAATTCCATCGGAAAGTTCCTGCCCTTGGGGCACTGAGGTATTACTTCTCAAGTGCAGACTCCTTCAAGATATTTCTCATTTTATTAGGTCAAATCATGAACTTTTTATCTTTGCTGCTGTTTATCTTGACACAGTTGTAGCACAGTGTGTGGTTTTTAGCAACACGTAATCCATTAATGTTGATGTGTGTGGCACCATTTAACATGCAGACCACACAAGAGTGGGCTGACAGGATGAACTGCAAAGTATCTTGGAACGCGGATCTGAAAACCAAAGTTCCTGACCGTTGGTGGTGGTTAGATTCCTGGCAGTTGGCAAAAGCTTCACGTTCCTGTTGCTGCTGTCCTGGCTAAGCAGTTTTGTTGTTTGTTTGTTTGTTTGTTTTAATAGCATTAAAGAACTGCTGTGCTTTTAATTTTTTGTGATTACAGTCCTTATTCCTAATCTTGCTCCCTGGGAAGTATCACAGCTGCTATACTTCACCTTAGTAGTTGTTGCTTTCTGGAGGTAGGTTAAAGGTTTCCCTTTGCATCCTATCAATTTATTTAAAAAATGTTTGGGGATCACATGTGAGGATGACACTATGCAGAGTGCAGAGTGATCTGTTACAAAGCAATCTGTGAGCATAAATTAATATTTGATTGTAAAGAGCTACCTCTCAGTTGTTGCGGGTTTGAATTTCTGAGAGGCAGCATATTTCCATCATTTAAACGCATACCTGTGTGAACTTTTTATTCCCAAATGACTGATGAGTCTTTAGGATATGACTTACTAGCAGTATTCATGCCT